CCTCTACTGTCCCCCCTCCCGAGCCCCCACCCGTACCAGGTGAGTGGGGGCTATTAAACTGAAGAGGGGGACTATTGTCCTCCCTACCTGGCACTTGGCCCTGGCCCATTAGCAGCGGGTGGGGGCCCTAAGTGAAAATAGGGGGGACCTATTGTCCCCCCGGCACCCACCCATGAGTGGTGGGTGGGGGTCATAAATGACTATGGGGGGACCTATTGTCCCCACCCCCCCAGCTCCCACCCATGAGTAGGTTTCAATTTGAAAAGTAACCAATCACTTTCCAAAGAACTTTCCCATGCTGTGTAAAATGACACAGAGCACTCTGGTTGGATTTCAAGCTAACCAATCAGAGTGCTGTGACAGGTAAATGTAGAGACTTACCTGTCAGTCTCTTCATCTACCTGTCAGAGCACTCTGGTTGGCTTAGAATCAACCATTCAGAGTGCTCTAAGTCAAATTGCAGGTCATGGGAAGGATTTATAATCCTTTCCCCACCATGCAGAGCTCAGTCTGCGTGGTGCCTTCTAAGGGTGAAGATGGATTAGTTTTTTTGCTTTGTATTTTTTTTTTTTTCAGGATTTTTTTTTTGCTCTCATTTTTTGATTTTAACAGTTGTGACGGATATTATGGATTTTTATTTGAATTTTGTTTTTTTTATTATGGGGCGGAGAAAAGAAGACATCAAATGGTAAGTTATTTTTTTTATTTACAGGTATTTAGTTTTCTTCTTCCCCTCTCACTATTTTTAGGGTGAGGGTGGTAGGTAGGTCTTTATTAACATATTTTTGGGTGGGTGACTAGGGGCTTGAGGAAACCTAGTCACCTGGGGGATGGTTTACACTTAGCCCCCACATGTCCCCCTATGGATGGGGACTGGGGGGGAAGGATAATGGGTGCCCCCGTAGTCATTTAGGGCCCCCACCTGCTGCTCATGGGCCTCCACGTGCAGGACGGGTGGGGCTCAGAAGTGGGGACCCTAGGGTTTTTTTGGGGGTTTTTTTTTAACAGTGAGCAGCCACTGGCTGCTCACTATTTATTATTATTATTATTATTATTATTTATATAGCGCCAACAGATTACGTAGCGCTTTACAATATTATGAAAGGGGGGATTTAACTATAAATAGGACAATTACAAGAAAACTTACAGGAACGATAGGTTTAAGAGGACCCTGCTCATACGAGATTAGTCTATAGGACATGCCCCTACTCGCATGATAGCGAGTAAGGGCATTCAGAAGATTTTAATCTTACTTATACTATTATGGGGTCATATTGACCCCCATAGAGTGAGGTAGGACATGGGGCTCCCTGCCGCTTCTATTTTTACATATTACATGGAGGTAACTGTGCACGAGTAGTTCCCTCCTTGTAATAAACCAAACAAAGAGGTCTTCGTTCATTCGTTTGAAATTTCTATTCAATTATTCGTCTTTCTGACAAATGAATGAATAGATTAAATTCCCGGTCTCATGCCCAAGTGTTTAACTGGGCATGTGCGGGAATTTCACAGTGCTATCTAGTGTGGGCAGATGACGTATCCTACAGGTCCTTCATCTACCCACACAAAGACAGCGGCGCCAAAGACCTAGGTCCGGGCACGAAATAAAGATGTAAAAATAGGTAAGATGGGGAGCTTAGGGGTATTTGGGGGTGACTAGAGGGACAATTAGATGTAGTGGAGTCGGGAGGGGGGGGGTTAAAAAAAACTAAACGTGATTCGGCCATGACAGTAACGCTTTCATACAAATTTCATTACAAATTTTAAATAAACCTTTCAATAATGTTACATCTTTTACACTTCCAGTTTGGAATGGAAATTAAGCACATAAAAGCTTAATAGTGACCTAAATGTTCTGTGAACAAAATTTCCAATCAATGCAAGTCATCAGATTAACTATTTAAAAAGCGTGTTAAACTAATCTAGGACAGATTTACCTCTCTGTTGCTCCAAAGGCCTGTTTACTCAAGAGGTGAATGCAAGTAGATCAAGGCATAATTGTATGGTGAACATAGTTGGGTGGTTGGATATGTGTACGGAAGCAGTAAATGGCCACACATTCAGAGTGAATGTGGCATGGTGAGTTGGTATGGGTGGGAGGTAAGGTAAGGCTGTCCTACAGGTTCGGTAGGTAGGGGAAGTTTGTGGTTGATTGGCTGAAATGCAATGTGTGACTATCTTTGTGAATGTAGAATCCTGTGTGGGAAGTGTTACTGTGTGCATGACTTTAGTGGTGTTTTTTTGTAGAGTGCAAGTGTGTGCATGCTGTGGTGTCTTTGTGTGAAGGTTTAGTATGTATGTATGTACAGGTGTTTGTGCACAATACCCATTCTGCCTCTTGGTATCTGTCTCCATCCCACTATATCCATTTATCTCTCACCACTTGTGTTACCTTCCCTCACTTGTTCCCCTTTTCTCATAACTCCTTCTTTCAATTATTTTCCTTTTCTTTACACATCCCTCACTTGTTCCCCTCTTCAAACACTTGTCCTCCCCTTTTCTGCCACTTCCTTAAATCTTTATTTTCTTCTCTGTCCCATCCTTCACCTGTCCCCTTCATGCCTCACCTATTCCCCCTTTTCTTCACCTTCTCCACTTGTTTCCTTCTTGTTTTCCTCCTCCCCTTTTGTATCCTTCTTCCAATAAGCCCCATGAGCACACTTGTGCCCAGGGGTGCTGATGTTACAGCAGGAACGGCAGGCACTATACAGTCATCCCTGCTGCTTGTGCACCTTTTTCTTCCACACTTTTCCCTTCCACATAACTTTCTATTAATGTGCTTTGATACAGCACTTTGGGAATATCCAACTTCCTTCACAATTACCTTTTTGAGGCTTTCCCTCCTTACGGAGGGTGTCATTGATGGTTTTCTGCACAACTGTCAAGTCAGCAGTCTTCCACATGATTGTGATTTCTACTGAACCAGACAGAGACCATTTAAAGGCTCAGAAACCCTTTGCAGGTGTTTTGGCTTACTTAGCTGATTAGAGTGGGACACTGAGCCTAGAATATTGCACCTTCTCACAATATTCTAATTTACTGAGATTGTGGATTTGGGATTCTCATGAGCTGTAGAACTTATATTCATGAAACTGTAGGGAGTTGAAATGGAGCTGAAAAAAAACATGTCAGTACCTAGGAAGAGTCATTTAATCAAATAGCTTCCCACTCTGCTATGAGCACAGATGTGGAAGGGGGCATGTCACATTGGTAGGTATTTGCAATGCATATGAACACCCAACATGTGACTCTGTACTGTGAATTTGTTTTTGTGTGACTGGTTCCATTTAGCATATTACTAGAGTTGAGCGGACACCTGGATGTTCGGGTTTTGCCGAACTTTTTCAAAAAAAGTCCGGGTTCGGGATCGAACTTGACCCCGAACCCGAACCCCATTGAAGTCAATGGGGACTCAAACTTTTAGCCACAAAAATGCCTCTAAAAAAACTCCTGGAAAGAGCTAGAGAGCTGCAAAAGCAAGTAAAATGGGGGTAAGAGTAGGACAAGTGCCCTGCAAACAAATGTGAATAGGGAAATCACTTAAAATAACATAAAAATTAAAAATACAGGTGAGCCTTAAAATAGCACCAAATGGAATCTTTGATTTTAGCTTTGGAAGAACATAAATCAAAATCTAAAGCATGGCTGTCAGGAGGATCGCCAGAATTATCCATTTGAGAGAAGGTTGGAGTGCAGGGTATTCTCTTTCATTGTTCAAACTGAGCTCAACTCCTGATGCATGGAAAAAAAGGCCTTCACAAGCTTCTGCTATTGTGTACATAGTTTATACTAAGTGACCCATAGGTTGAGGAGGCGGTGACCGTGGCGGTGTAGGTGGAAGCAGCGGTGGAGGAGGAGGTGGTAGCCAACACTGTTTGTGTGTGTGTATATGTATGTATGTGATATATATATATATATATATATAATACACAAGATCCAGCGCACTCACCTATCCACTAAACAGCAACTTCAATGTTGAAAGATTTTATTTGTTTGTTTAAAAACACCTAATCTAGGCAAAAATAATGGGGGTTTAGTTACATTATATGATCATACATTGCATAAGCCTGCCACAACGTCAATGTACCCCATCTTTGGCAGGTCCTACACTAACAGTCTAATGTCTGCTCTTATGAGATTAACCTACTTGGGGAAAGAAATTCCATCTGGGGCTCTCTGCAGTACAAGGCTAAATAGGGCCCTGGGATGAGGCACCTGTGACAGGGAGGGGTGCAAAACCAAGGAGTTGGCTAGACTCCCAAATATATATATAAAACAAGAGGGGGTTGGCTGCACTCACCTTAACATGCATAAATGGGGGTGCTGCTGGGGGCCAAATAATGCAATACACAAGATCCAGCGCACTCACCTATCCACTAAACAGCAACTTCAATGTTGAAAGATTTTATTGTTTTTTTTAAAAAACACCTAATCTAGGCAAAAATAATGGGGGTTTAGTTACATTATATGATCATACATTGCATAAGCCTGCCACAACGTCAATGTACCCCATCTTTGGCAGGTCCTACACTAACAGCCTAATGTCTGCTCTTATGAGATTAACCTACTTGGGGAAAAAAATTCCATCTGGGGCTCTCTGCAGTACAAGGCTAAATAGGGCCCTGGGATGAGGCACCTGTGACAGGGAGGGGTGCAAAACCAAGGAGTTGGCTAGACTCCCAAATATATATATAAAACAAGAGGGGGTTGGCTGCACTCACCTTAACATGCATAAATGGGGGTGCTGCTGGGGGCCAAATAATACAATACACAAGATCCAGCGCACTCACCTATCCACTAAACAGCAACTTCAATGTTGAAAGATTTTATTTGTTTTTTAAAAACACCTAATCTAGGCAAAAATAATGGGGGTTTAGTTACATTATATGATCATACATTGCATAAGCCTGCCACAACGTCAATGTACCCCATCTTTGGCAGGTCCTACGCTAACAGCCTAATGTCTGCTCTTATGAGATTAACCTACTTGGGGAAAGAAATTCCATCTGGGGCTCTCTGCAGTACAAGGCTAAATAGGGCCCTGGGATGAGGCACCTGTGACAGGGAGGGGTGCAAAACCATATATATATATAAAAATAGTGGTAGCCCCAAAATATTGGGACATATAAAAAAGACAACTCCTGTATCGCAGAGTAGCTGTTGACATTATAGTTGTGCGGTTAGTTTGTTGACTCTAGAGAACCTCGGGCAAATCACACATCCCCGTGGCGGCGACTTTGAACGCGGATGTCATCCATATTAACTTTCAATGCCAGTTTCTGCGCCTACCATGATGACCACAGGAAATCAGGGTTCCATTCCGTACAGGGACCCTTAGAAACAGCTACCACATGCAAGGAAGGCAGCAGGCGCGTAAATGACCCACTCCCGACGCGGGAAGGTAGTGACGACAAATAACAATACAGGACTCTTTAGAGGCCCTGTAATTGTAATAAGTCCACTTGAAATCCTTTAACTCTGATCAATTAGAGGGAAGTCTGGTGCAGAGCCACCTACCTGTGCATGCTGCAGCTGAAACTCCACTATCGCCTGCTGCTGCTCGCACAGTCTCACGAGGCAGTGAGCGAGAAGGCCGAAGTTACGCTGCAGTGCAAACAGGCGAGCAGCAGCAGGGTGAGAACGCAAAAAGCGTGCACAGCCGCTACAGTGAATGTCACATTCTGTTCCAAGTTGAAGATTAGTCTGGTGATGGCTTCTGGTATCCAGTACTCTTTTTATTGAAGCTGCATCGGGGTCCTGGTATGTGGCCGCACAAACGCTGGTGCTCAACACCAGGGGGCGTGCGGATACCCTGCTAATCCATTCCACACTGTGACTCCTAACTTCAACATCAGGCATACTGGGTCCCGGTCGTCCGACCGCCGCTCAGACAGTGTCTGGCTCCTGGTCACCGGACTGCCCACCTGACTGTGAAACTACAAATGGATCATTAAATCTGGTACGAACACGAACTTTGCAGTTCGGGTTCGCTCAACTCTATTATGGATCCTTTGATCGCTACATGTATTACTTGGATAACTGGTAATTCTCGAGCTAATACATGACGACGAGTGCTTGGGGACGGCCGCTCCTCTTTTGCACCCTGCTCCCTCTTATGCTGTGCTGGTGCCTCTGTGCATCCAGCTCCTCTACCTCCAAACTGCACAAGTCACTCGATATATCTTTTGATATGTCCCTGCGGTAAATATTACATTGGCAGGACTAAGAGAGTATTCAAAATCAGGGTAGCTGAACATATCCGAAATATCAAAAAGAGTCTCCCAACACATAACCTCTCCAGACATTTCCATATCACACACTTAAAGGACCACTATAGTGCCAGGAAAACATACTCGTTTTCCTGGCACTATAGTGCCCTGAGGGTGCCCCCACCCTCAGGGACCCCCTCCCGCCCGGCTCTGGAAGGGGAAAGGGGTAAAAACTTACCTTTTTCCAGCGCTGGGCGGAGAGCTCTCCTCCTTCTCTCCTCCTCCATTCCTCCTCCTGGGCTGAATGCGCACGCGCGGCAAGAGCTGCGCGCGCATTCAGCCCGTCGCATAGGAAAGCATTTACAATGCTTTCCTATGGACGCTTGCGTGCTCTCACTGTGAAAATCACAGTGAGAAGCACGCAAGCGCCTCTAGTGGCTGCCAATGAGACAGCCACTAGAGGATTAGGGGGAAGGCTTAACCCATTCATAATTATAGCAGTTTCTCTGAAACTGCTATAATTATGAAAAAATGGGTTAACCCTAGAGGGACCTGGCACCCAGACCACTTCATTAAGCTGAAGTGGTCTGGGTGCCTAGAGTGGTCCTTTAAGCAATCCAGGTGAATTACAATTTATGGCCATAGAGAAGGTCTCTTTACATTGGAGAGGGGGTGATCTTGAAAAAGCTCTAGATAGAGCAGAAGCCAAATGGATCTTCCAGTTGGATACTTTAGAACCGAAGGGTTTAAATCTGGACTTTGAGTTGAATGCATTTTTATAAAATCCCATGAATGATAATAGCGGTATTAAGCCACATTATCTCTATATGTTTTATTCTTAATATCTTTTATTCTATTATTCTATAAGTCTAATTATCTTCTCTTTTATACATCAATTAAAGTATTTTTTCTTCTGTCTTTCTGTTTGAATACGATTTTAGATCCTATCTCCCAAAGGTGTCTAGTTTTTTCAGAATTTTTGAAGTGGTGATGGTACATCGTTTAGTAGTACATGAACTAAGGGGTATTTCATAGAAACTATTTTCTTCCCACAAAAATGAGGATGTCTTTGTATATTTGATCTTCTTAGTATCACATAAGAAATTTTTTTTTATTTTTTTTCATTTTTTATGTTCCCTTTTTTTCATATATGAGGTCTTTTTAAGAGATTGTTGCTTTTTTTCTTAGATTTTATATGATATTTTTATTCTCATTAATATTTGGTTATGTAGGGTGATGTGTATCTCTGTTGCTCATTATTAATTTATTGTTTATTCTGTTTTTATCTATGCAGAGATAATTCTACTATTTTATTGTAATTCTATTAACTGATTATGTGTTTCTCATTTTTTATTTATATTTTAAACTATAATGGTTTTAATACATCTATTACATGTATTTTCTTTAGTTTTAGATTGATTCTATGCATGTATGTGTTATGCAAGTTTTTGTTACACATGTCACTTAGGAGTTAAATGTTATTAAGTGATGAAAGGGTTAACCCTATTGAAAGCTAACACTGCCGAAGGGGTAAATAAATCCATCGGCAAACAAAAGATGCATTCCTCTGATGAAGTGACAGGATGTCACGAAACGCGTAAGGCATCTTTTCACACACTCACAGTGGAACACATACCGAAGCAAAGTGGAACGCACGCGGTGGATCTCCCCGACGAGCATTTGTCAACAAGGACTCTGAAGTTGCCTCTGAAGCTGGCTCTGATGAGACAGCATTTCTAGAGTATCCAGACTGCTGGGAGGATGACACCAAATGAAGGTTACCTTTTTTTTAAATGCTATCTGTGAGCAATTGCTTATTTTTATTTCATATTTTATACACTTATATTTTTTAGTTTAATAAAGTCTTTTTGTCTATCTCACACTGCTACACATATAATACTCCTTTTGTATTTTTCATGTACCATACTACTACTGATTGAAATACTAGTCTGTTACTAGAGCATATATAGCTCCCATTGGCCAGTTCTCCTGCTGTTTCCATAGAGGTATACAAGCCAGATTTTTATATATATATATATATATATATATATATGAGCTTACAGTGAAAGGACACTTTTGGACTGATCACTAAACTATAATTTTTATTTATTATCTGAACTTAAACTGTGGACTATTTCTACATGCACTGATACAGTGTATATTCATCTATTGAGATACATTCACTCAGTTGTGACTAAGGTCTGTTTTTACTTATCCATGGTGCATTGATACTATGTATGTCTCTATTCATTCACCTTAGTTCACCTTTATTCATTCGGTATGATCTAACTACCAAACAAAGACCACACCCCTGGCTCATTAAGCTTCAAAGGATTCATCACTTAACCCCTCTACCTGTGCGGCCAGCGTTCGTACTACTGAATGCCACGTGGCTGAGAAAACCGCGGCCATCTTTTTTCAGCCGAACAAAGGCAGATCGGGGCTATCAGGGGACATATTATTTGTGGGGATACCTCATGTATAAAGGGGTGTTCCAGATATTGGGGAAAATTTTGATTTTTCTGCCTGGAGATAATCAAGTTATTACTTTATCAGACTTGATTATCTCCAGGACTAGGGGAGGGAATTGTATGTGTGTACAGGGTGTGTTTTATGCTTTTACTGTGCCGGATTGGTTAAACTCTGTCCCTCCCTGTGGGATGTCCCCTTGCATGGGGACTTGCATAAAAGCCTGTGTGTGATCATTAAAGCTCAGTTCAGTTGTACCCGTCTTCTTGACTTCGGCTGATGTTTGGGGATTCGTGTGCTTTATTAAGGGAATTATCTTATGAAGCTATTTGGATTACTATACAGTTTGTCTATTTCATCTACCGAACGGAGAGGTATACTCACTGATGCTCTGGTGGTTCGGGAGGAAACTACCGAATGAGGATTACATATACCAGGTTTACTTACATATATATATTTCTATTATTCTTTGGGTGTTGGTATCCACTCCTGGTTAAAGCAATTAGACTGGTTTCTCCTTGCTTTTTATCGCCTATCTATTCAACCTAGGGTGTGGGTTGGTTTCTTTTAAAACAATTAGAATGTTTACCACTGTGCAGTAAGCGCACTATTTGACACTTCTATTTCACTCTCAGAAATGAAGTGCACCGCAGGCCCCAAAATGTACTATTAGACGCTTCTATTTGACTCTAAAGCAATTAGACTGGTTTCTCCTTGCTTTTTATTGCCTATCTATTCAACCTAGGGTGTGGGTTGTTTCACCAGTTTAGTGGATATAACCCCCCCCCTTTTTTTTTTTTTTAAGACCATAACTTTTCTATCCTATTTATCCAAGTGGAAGTATTTCCCCTTGGTTTCTTTTAAAACAATTAGAATGTTTACCACTGTGCAGTAAGCGCATGTATAGCTTGGAGGAAAGACGAGACAGGGGGGATATGATAGAAACATTTAAATATAGAAAGGGAATCAACACAGTAAAGGAGGAGACTATATTTAAAAGAAGAAAAACTACCACAACAAGAGGACATAGTCTTAAATTAGAGGGACAAAGTTTTAAAAATAATATCAGGAAGTATTACTTTACTGAGAGGGTAGTGGATGCATGGAATAGCCTTCCAGCTGAAGTGGTAGAGGTTAACACAGTTAAAGAGTTTAAGCATGAGTGGGATAGGCATAAGGCTATCCTAACTATAAGATAAGACTAGGGACTAATGAAAGTATTTAGAAATTTGGGCAGACTAGATGGGCCGAATGGTTCTTATCTGCCGTCACATTCTATGTTTCTATGTTTCTATGTTTCTAATGTACTATTTCGCACCAAAAAAAATGACTTTTTAAAACTCTGATGTAACAGCAGTATTTGAAGCTTCTATTTGACTCTCAGATATGAAGTGCACCCCACCCCACTAATGTACTAGTTTGCAGAATTCTTTCCTAAGCTGTCCCTATCAGTGGTCTGGGTGCCCCGCCTCCGGACAGGTCAAGTGTCACATGTATGTGTGTGCTTTGTCGTCTCATCATTGCATACTCACGTTTTGCAATCACATGATCCATGCTAGCCAAAGAAAGTTTAGGACTATCCCAAATCCCTATGCACAATTAAATAACTGGAGTTTTGTTTTTTTAGTATCACTTTAATGGCCAATAAAGTGTAAGCTCACCTACAATATCAAGGGTGATCTCTTAGGTTGTTCCTGTACTAACAATTCAACCTGCTTCTTTAAGCTGAAAGGTAAAATCTCTAACATAGGGGAGCTTTTATCTAAGTCCTACACAGTTATTACACCTTAATAGGGAATACATGGGTGGGTGGCAGCACTGTAACATGGCTGTGTAATACACGAGCAGGACCACCATCAG